CCTTGGAGGGTGTGTGTGTGGCCATCTCTGTTTCACAGACGATCATATTAACTCAGAGAGGTGGAGTGTCTTGTCCAAGGTCACACAACCAGTAAGAGTGGGATTCGAACACAGGTCACCCCCCTTTACAGGCAGTGCCAGTACCAGGGAATAACAATGCTGTAAGGACATAACCTCCACCAGCCGCAGGCCCACCGGCTCCTCCTCAGCCAGGCTGCCCTTTCCTGTCCCTCTCCCCAAAGGTCATTTTTTGAGCCAGACACTCCCAGCATCCTCAGCTCTGACCACCAGTAAACAGGCACATTTGGGGACCACAATTCAAGGCTCCAACATTCCATTTTACCTGGAGCTCTTGGGATCATTAAATTGTTTTTTCAGCCTTTAAAATTAGTCAATACTTTTTAAAGGTTTACGTGACTTACCATCCCTGGGGTCTCCTGCTGGCTGTGTTTCCCTCTTATGAAGCTGGCTCGATGGAGGTGCTGCTGGGTCCAGGGCTCACCCGGATGGCCCTTGTGGGACATGGACAGGGTGGAATGAAGCACTGTGGGCGAGTTTCCAGCACAGCACCTAGCCCTCAGGGCTCTGGATCTGTGTTCCCATCCCCTTGCATCCTCAGAACAGGAAGAGGTGTGACTTTAGATGGGAGCCAACCTGCCCAGGGTCACCACTCAGAAAGAGGTGGGCTAGGGGTCTGACCCCAGGTGTGGGCTGGGGCCACAGCTCTGGTGCGATTCCAGAAGGCAGTATGACCAACCCCATCTCCCACCTGGGGGCACCTGGGGATGGACACCCCTTTCCTGCCCCTCACAGGCAGAGCCCAGAGTCCTGGGTGGGAGGTGGTGGCTGGGACCTGCTCCACACAAACCCTTCCAGACCTCTCAGCAGCCCCTTCACATCTTCCAGCCAAGTGACCCAGGCACTGTCCGGGGAGACCTGCCGTGGCCCGGCCACAGCATCCCAGCTCTCCCGGCCCAGCCTCTGACCCCAGCCCAGGAGCTGCCCTCACTGTCCACCAAGTTCACGCTGCAGGATGAGCTTCTCACCAGACCTGCTTGGGGGTCGGTGGGTGAGAGGGACAAAATGTAGGTGTTCTGCAGCAGCAATGTGACCGTTTCCCCCAGCTGGTGCCGGCAGCCACAGCGAGCCAGGTGCTCGCTCCAGGTGAGAGCAGAGGTGCACGTCAGGTGTGGACCATGAGCTCAGCGCCTCTGTGGTCTCGTCTCCACCCTCGTCTTCATCAGACCTCAGGGAGATGGTCTTCCTGCCCTGGGGAGGACTCAGGCAGGGCCACACCTTTCTGATCACCCTCGGAGAGCTAAGTGGCCTTTTGTCACACATCCACCATGAATGTCCAGTCCCAGGTAACAGTCCAGACTCGAGCGAGACGTGGCATTTCCCCTCCTGTGCCCCTGCACCAGGGCCTGCTCGTGCCGGAGGCTGGTGCGGGGGAGGGACCCGGGGTCCTGCGGCTTCTGCCCGCCCCCTCCCCACTCTGATTGGCTGCGAGGCTGCTGGGGGCAACCCTGCTCTGGGTGGGCCTGGCAGGTGGACACAGCTGGCCGTTCCTCTCTTGGGTCCTTTGCTGGGAGGTCTGGAAGTTCCCCCCAAGCCACCTCCAGCAGAGCCGCTGGCCTGGGCAGTCACGGCTGCACGTTCAGTGGTTTTCCTCAGCCCCTGGGCGCAGTGGCCTCTCTGCTGCGGTCCCAGCTCCCTGGAGAGCCCGCAGACCGGGGTGGCTTCAAACAATGAGCACACGCTTTCGCGCGAGTCTGCGTCAGCCGGGCGTCTCCTCGCGGCTTGGCGGTGCTCGCTGTCCGGTGCGGTGGCTGTGGGTCAGGCAGGTGTGTCTGCTGTGTTTGCTGGGCTCGCTGCCGTGTTCCGGGATGGACTTGCCGTCCAGCCTAGGATGGCCTCAGCTGCCTAGCTCGTCCACGCCCACGTGGTCTCTCATCGTCCAGCAGCCTAGCCTGGGGTGGCCGCCGTGGACGGAGCAGGGCTTTGAGGGAGAGCGAAAGCTGAAGGCCTGTGAGGCCTAGGCTTGGGCCAGCACTTCCTCTGCATCCTGTCGGCCAAAGACAGTCACAGGCCCGTGCGGTGTTAAGGATGGGCCAACGGTCTCCATTTCTGGACAGGAGGGGCCGAGAAGTCATGTTGTAGAGGATGTGGATACAGGAAGCCACCGACGGGGCATCAGCACCACAAGTCTGCCGATCTCCCTTGCTCCTCAGGACCCCACCCCTGTGTCACTGTTTCCAGGAGGCCCTCTTGGAGACTGCCCCTCCCCATCCTGAAGGCATCACCTTCCCCGCCACCTCTTCCCCTCCCGTGCATCTCCCTGGACCCGGAGCAGCCTTTGAGGGCAGGCCTGACCTCTCTCGTCTCCTCGTCTCCAGGGTCCAGCCTGGACCTTCCTCCCATGCAAGCCCAGAGGAGATGCTGGGTAGGCTTGTTCCCAGAGTCCCATCCCAGGCACACCAAGCCTCCTTCCTCTCCCCAAGCTCTTCCATTCAGCAGCAGACAGGACCTGTTTGCTCTCTGCCTCCCTCCTCATCAGCCCTGGTGCTTCTGACAGCTCTAATTAAATGCAGCAGTCCCATCTGAGGGATCAAGCTGGGCTTTTTCAGGGCCCCCTCTCAGTCGTGAGCTCTGACTCCGTTGGATCATTAACGGTGTCGACAGTACTTCCCGTGATGGATAGTGATGGACGAGCGAGGGGAGGAGTCCCCCCGACAGGCATCTTGATCTCCTCCCCGACGTGGCAGGCCTCTGCCGGAGTTCCCAGGGAGCTTTCCAGCCCATGGAATCATTTGGATTTCACATAAACCCGAGGAGAGCTGCGGCCAGGCAGGCATGGCAGCTCCTATTTTATGGGTGAGACAGACGGGCTCAGAGAAGGTGCGATTTGGGTGAGGTCACACAGCTAATATGTACCAGGGCTGGAACTGGAATACCTTCCTCTTGATGAAAAAGCATCCTTGACAGTGGGCACCTCTGAGATTCAAGGGCTGGTCCTCCCTCACGGGGCCCCAGGAGCGACCTGTGTCCTCAGGGCGTTGCCTGCCCAGCCTCTTGTTCTGCTCTGTTCTCCCTGCTGGTCGGGGCCGCTGTGACAAGCTAGCACACGCTCAGTAGCTTAAAACAGCAGAGGCTTATTCCCTTATGGTTCTGGATGCCAGAGACTGAAGTCAAGGCTCATGCTGAAGGTTCCAGGGAAGAGTCTGGCGGGCCCCTTCCAGCTCCTAGTGGCGGCCAGCCTCTTTGGTGTTCTTTGGCTTGTAGCTGCATCACTCCAGTCTCTGCCTGCCTTGTCTCTTGGCCTTCCCCCTGCGTGTCTCTGTGCCCCTGTGTCTTCACATGGCTTTCTTATCAGGACACCAGTCATTGGTTTAGAGCCCACATAATCCAGTATGACCACATCTTATGCGACCCAATTTCCAAATAAGGTCACAGTCACACGTGCCAGGAGTTAGGATATCAACATATGTTTTGGGGGGACCCAGTCAGGGTCTGTGACTGCCCATTGCTGGCTCCGTCTCTCACTGTAGACCTGTCACCGGGCTGGTCAGTTGAGACGCCACCTCTGACTGCTCCCTGAGCCTGTGCTGGACCACTGGGTTCCCAAAGCAGGCGGCGGCTCTGGGCTTCCACTGATAAGGCTGCGTTGTCCCCAGTCCCCAGGGGTTGACTGGTGCCTCTTTGTCCAA